AGAGTAGCTCCTAGATACCTGGTGGGGCTGGTAGCTGATTGGTATAGAGAAAACAAAAATGGAATCAAAAAATGAAGGGACGATACAAACCATACACAAAGTTTTTACCATGTTCTAGTAGAATACTTCGCTATGTCGGAAAGATGACATCAATGGCAGATAGAATTGAATGAATTAAATCAATATAATGACGAGAAGGTAGACAGATATGTGGCAAAGTTTAAATATTTACTTACCAGGGTGGACCCAAAAGGGACGATTCCAGACGACTACATTGTTAGAATGTTTCTGAACGGATTGAAGGATAACACCGCAACGTTTATAACCATGACGTCACTAAAGAACCTTGGGAAAGCCATCAAAGCGGTGCGAAGAGCAGAGGCAGGAAACTATTACGACCGACAAACTAGGATAAGGGTAAAGGACGTGATGAAGCAATTAGAAGATAACGTAGAGAGGCTAGAATGGAAAGTCAAAGAGCTTACGTTGAGCCATACAAACCTACGAAGGGAGCCTCAGCAAGAGCAGAAACTTTGAAAAAGGAGAAGTTTAGTTTGTTATAGCTGCAGAAAGGAAGGACACATTGCGCAATGATGTCTCAGGGAGAATATCGAAGGAACCTGCGAAGACCACGACCCCAAAGGTGCAGTATTGTTACGAGGAGGAAGAGATAGAAGAAGGGGATGGAAAAAAGGAGGAAGCGTATATGCTAGGGGCCGCGACACAAGCGGTAAAGAAGAAGGGGCGACCAAGACTTCAAGAGAAAGAGAGTATGAACAAATCATGGAGGGTGCCAAAGCATATAAGGATGCAGGAGCCAATGATAGTTGTGGAACCTCCAAAGGTATCTGGTGCTACCAAGAAGCCTAGGTGGAAGAGAATGCCATTGGTAGTCGATCAACTGGAACCATACGACATCTCCGAGGATATCTTGTCGATGAAAGCAAACGTGATATATGGGCAGTTGTTGAAATATACCGACCAGCGATGCAACTTGTCAAAAATACTAAAAAGAGCTAAATCTCCAGTTGAAGCGAATCAAGTGAGTTCAGCAGACGTCTCGAAAACAACCGCTGCCAAATGTTATATGCGGATCAGAGACAAGATAGTGATTGCCACCCTAGACATGGAAGCAGTGGTAAATATAATAATGAAAAAGTTGTTAGATAGACTTCGTTTGAAGATAAACGAAAAATCTACCTTCGTCATTATTACCACCAATGGTACTAGAGAAAGGACTCTGAGACAAGTTAAAGAAGTAGGTATTACCATCCAAGGAGTAACCATCCTTGTGACTCTGAGAGTTATTGAATCTAGAGACAAGACCCTTCTACTTGAAACAGATTGATTTCAAAAAGGGAAGGCCAGGATTCACTTCGATGAACAAAGGATACTTTTGAAGTATCAAGGGAGGAAACTAGAAGTGCCCATATCACACAATGGCATTGAAGTGTTGGCATAACCTGTGGAATCAGAGACAAGTGATGAGAAAAGTGGAGACATGTTCGATGAATTGGAATACAAGAATAAGGAGGTGGAAGAAGAGGAGGGATACTATATAGAAAAACAATCCAGAGAAGAAGAAACGATCTGTAAAGAGATCCTGGGTCCCGTGATTTATTTAGCCACCTTGGAGGAGATACCAACACCAGAGGAAGAAAAGGAGCTTGCCATTGTGGGATCGAAGGTGGACTTAGACGATCTGATAAAAGAGGAGCAAATAGAAGCGGTAAAGCTGTTGAAAGCAGAGAAAGAACTATTCGCAGAGAGATTGGACGAACTCATCCAGATGGATGCGATCCAACACGAAATTGACACTGGTGATGCGAAACCGATTAAACAAGTACCCTATAGGATAGTGCTGGACGAACATAAGTATGTAAAGGAAAAGTTAGTAAAAAGGGCTGATTCAGGAATCAAGGAGTCTGTGGGTGTCACCAATAGTGATTGTACCCAAAAAGATAGCAAATGATGTCTATGCGTAGACTATAGGAAATTGAACGTGGTAACAAAAAAGGACGCCTACCCCTTACCCAGAATTGATGACCTAATCGAGACTTTTGGGCGGACAAAGTAGTTTTCAAACTTGGACCTTGCTAGTGGATACTGGCAGGTCTGAATCCATGAAAGGGATTGTGAAAAGATAGCCTTTGTGACAAAATTCAGAACATATGAGTTCCAAGTGATGCCGTTCGGGTTGTATAATGCCCGGCTACATTCCAGAGGCTGATGAATAAGGTATTATATGACCACATTGATAGATTCGTAGCCATCTATTTGGATGACATCATCGTGTACTCACAGACATTTCCAGAGCACACTAGTC